AGCCAGAAGAGTCCCTAGAGACCCATACCTGAGTCCTGACCACTTAGCCAGGGAAGCTGATGAAGGCTACCTAGGAAGCCCTGGGTGCTACATGTGGGAGTCTAGGGTCTGTATGAGCCATGCTGGGGTAGGGGGTCCCAGGAAGTACTCATGCTAGGGACCCCTCTTGGGTAACCTGCCCAGAGACTGTGAATCCACACTGGAGAAGTACAGCTGAAAGATTTCATGTGGGGAGGCAGAGGGTGCGTGTCCTGCCAATTACCTACCTCACAAGGTGAGTCTGTCACAGGGAGTCCTGGGGACCAGGCTCCTGACTCCAGCTCTGAGATTTTTGCCTTCTCTGACAGCAGAAAGAGTGGAAATGAGACAAAGGAGGTATGTAGAGTCACCCCTGTACACCTCCCATAGGCTCAGAGAGGACTGATACTTCTGTCTTAAAGCCATGGTTTCTGAGCTATAGGTTCAGGCAGAGGGAGGAGGGAAGAGGGAGGCCAGGGATAGTTGCTTCTCCTGTGGAAACTGAAGCTGCCCCAAGGCCCAAAGGAGCTAGTCCATTAGCTGTGGTCAGCAGGGGAGGCAGGGAGGGTGGGGACCAATCTCTCCCTCCAGGTCTTATTGCCAAGGCAAAACTTTTGTTCCCTCCATTATAGCCCCCAAGAAAAACAAAACAACAAAAAAGGAACCCCCCCACAACCTTTGTCTCGGTAGAGTTGAAGCTGAGTAAGTTGGGGTAGTGTGGCAGTAAGGCAGGGCTAGACCACAGAGGTAGGGGAGGCAGTGCCCTCCCCAGGCACTGTCCAGGGAGGAGGCAGAATAAAGGATGCTCTGAGAAGAGATGCTCTTCCAACTTAGCTCCCTCTGAAATGGGACTAGTGGACAGTCAGATGAGCTGAGAGGGAGGGACAGTCTCCAGAGATCCTCAGGGAATGGAGAGGTGGAGGAGAGGGGTCCTGGGGACTCCCCCCCCCCGAGAAAGTGGGTTCAAAGAAGGGCTGGGGAAGAGAATCTTCTAGCCGGTGCTGAGGTGAGGCTGGAGACCCAGGTCATTCAGTTTTGGATCTGTCTCCATGAGAGGGTCTCCCCCCAACCCACCTCCTGGCCCATCCTCTGTACAGGAACGGGTCCGGTGTGGGTGTTGGGGGTGTGGAAGGACTAATGAGAGACTGGTCCGCTTAGAAGGGTGCAAGGAGAGAGCCGATTGGTACTACACCCTCGCTCCCCCCTCCCCTGCCAGAACTTGGGCTTGTCCTGTTTGACGCGCCCAAGGGAGGGGAGAGAGGGTACTGACCCGAGAAGCAGTCCTGCGACTTTGTCCTCCCCGCAGCCCAGACAGAGCTGGGATGCTGCCCCGCTTGCCCAGGCGCCTCCTGAGACCAGGATGGAGGTAGGAACGCCTGAGACTCTGAAAGGGGACGCAGGAATGTCTCAGAGGAACCCCAGAGCGGCGCGGGCAGAGTGAATCCTGGGGTCCTCTACCGGGGATCCGGGAGGTGGGACGTGGCTCGAGGAGAGAGGGAGCGGGGTCTAGATCCCGGCTGCACCCTCCTGGGCAGCGCCTCCTGCTGGCCAGAGACCGCACGTCGGGCGGGTGCAGCCACCTGGAAGGCGCGGGCAGACACCCGGCCGCGAACCTAGGGGGCACTGTAAGCAGGCACCGAAGCAGCCGACTCGCTCGCCCCGACCTTGGCAGAGCAGAGACCCAAACTGGGAGTTGGGGGGCGGGGAGGAGCACAACCCCGCTGGGTAGTCTCTGAATTGATTCTGCAGGAGCCACAGGGTCGGGACCTGGGATGGGTGGATGGGCATGGCTTTCCCGGAAGCCCGGGGCTTAGAAGCAGAACACCAGCATTCCGATCCTTTTTGGTCTTTCTCCCCGCCGAGGTCTGGGGCGCGGCGGGGGGGGGGGCGACTGTCTTTCCTGGGGCGCTGGGGCCGCGAGGGAGAGCAGAGGCTCCTCTAATGCCCAGGTGCCAGGCTGCCTTTGAACCAGTCCTGCCCTCGGCCTGCAGCTGAGCTCCGCAAACCCAGCCAGGTGGAGGAAAATTCGGAGGGGGAGGGGAGGATGGGGAGGGAGGGCAAGAGATGGGGATGGAAGGACAGTGGGAGGCACCAGATGAACAGTGAACGGGATGGTAGAGAGACGGAAGTGGAGAGAGACTGGACTGAAAGGCGAGGGGGGTGCGAAAAGACTGACGGGGGCGGCGAGAAAGGAGAGGGGAGGGAGGGAGCGAGGGAGGGAGGGAGAAAGGAGGAAAAGGGGAGGAACCAGGAGCTGGGGGGAAAGGGAGAGGGAGGGAGCTGGGCGGGCAGGCGCGGGGCGAGGCCAGGCGTGCAGGCAGGAGCAGTGTGCAGCGGCTGGGTCCTGCTCCCGCCTCGGAGCCCCTGGCCCGGGGGGAGGGGGAGAGGCTGCCAGCCCGGTCTATGTCTTTTTCTGACTCCAGTGCAACCTTCCTGCTGAACGAGGTAACCGTTGGGGCCCCCTTCCCAGAGGGTTGGGAGGAACGCTCTACCCCAAGGTAGGAAGGTGGTCCCCATTTGGGGGAGACTGAAGCCAGGGGAAGGAGGGGAAACAGGAGGGGAGACCTCTGGGTAGGAGAGGAGGGGTCAGCTGGAGCTGGCAGCTCCCCAAATATGGGCTGAGAGAACTGACTGGGGAGCCAGAAAGGGGCTAGATTGGAAGAAGGGCTGTGCCCAGCTCCCTTTGTGCCCCTCTCTGAGTTCCCTGGGGGTGACCTAAGAGCTGGAATGCTAGGGGGCCTTCCTAGAAGTCCTAGCTCCTGCCTCAGTTTCCCCACTCAGTACCCAAGGATTGAGATGTGGCCAGCTTCCTGGCACAAAGAAGCTGGGCTGTTTTCTGGAGGCTCTTAAGACCTCCGACTCCCAAACCTGGTTATTTAGGCTCTCCTGCTTCAATGACTAGGTTGGCTTGAGACCTGGAATAGGCAGGTGTGAGTGTGGTGAGAGATGAAAGGGGCATTGGGGAGGAGAGCTCTGAAGCACCCGCAGGACCCAGGGGATGCCTGCAAGTATGAGGAACTTGAACTCATCTCCTGGGGGGGGGTGCATGGCAACTCATTTCTTGGGAGCAGACTTAGATACCATGGTCCCAGCTGGGGGTGAAGACAAGGTGTGAGAAAGAACTGCTGCTGGTGGCAGGTTCACTTTCCCTACAATCCCAGGACACCTGAGGGTGAAGAGTCCCCCCAAAACCCGAGAAGGAGAGTAGATTCGGGATGGGAGAGAATCATCTCCCAGAAAAGGGCTCTGAGGGTCTTAACTGTTACCTTTCCACCCTCTGGAAAGAGAGAGGGAATGGAAGAGACAGAAAAGAGACAGGAAGCTACAGGGACACCAAGAACCAAGTCACACAAGTGAGAAGATAGTATTTGGGAGGTTCCAATACAAGAAATGTATATGATTATGTACAGTATACATAATTTACTAACAATATGTTACTAACCACTAAATGGACTCAGGAGAGGTGGTTGGGAAAGCTATCTCCCCCAACTGTGGGCACAGGGGCTCTAACAAAGTTGTCAACTCTGTCTAGAGGGAGGAGGCAGACAGGGAGTCTTAAGGTGAAGCCCTTTCTCTCGCCAAGGAAAGAGGGAGATATGACACAGGTAGGAAGCCAGTTGGTTTGAGTGGTCTTCCTCTCCCACACACTACTTTCTCCCACAGATCTCATCAAAGCTTTCCAAACTGTGGCTTTCTGATTTTGCTGTAACCAAGAGGGAGGAACAGAGTTCTGAACTCACCACCCTCCTGGGTGTGAGAAGCTAGGATTGGAAAATGACTGGGCTCGAGGGCACCAGCACACTGTGTGCTCTAGGAATAGCTGGTGTCTGTCTCACATCCTTCTCTTGGGATGCCCAAGCAGGTCATCAAAATTCAAAAGGAAATTTTTGGTCAAGGGATTAAAAAAAAAAAGAAGAGAGCTCATACGGGTAGTGTTTAGGGAGAAGTTTCTTCCAAGATATGGACTGCCTCTCATCCTACAAATCTCAACACTCCTTTGAAGGGGACCGAGGTGCAAAGTGGCTAGAACCCAGGTGGGGGGAGGGGCTTTCTCCTTTCCGACCCCAGGGTGCCCGTCTCCCACCTTCTGCTCCACCCACTGCTTTCATCTCTCCCTTTCGGCTCACCTCTAATAGCCCCTCTCTTCCCCAGTTCCTACGGATGCCTTGCCAATGTCTGGCACAATCCTTGACAGGGAAGTGAGAAAGAGAAACTCCATCCTGGCTCAACTAGGATGAAATCTGCCCGCGCAACAGGTGTGGGGAGGCCTACCCCGCGCACCCAAACTTCCCTTAAGACTTGTCAGGCGGCATGGGCCTTCATTGCAACCCAGAACTGAGTGGGCCGGGCACCTGTTGGCGCAAGAGCTGATTTCATAGCATCAGAATGGGGTCTCAAACCCATTGCTCTTCAGTACCATCGCGGGGGGTTGCTCTGGGAGTCTCCTGGACCTCCGGGGCCCAGACACTCAGAGCTCTCTCCTGAGACCCCCGCCCCGCCCACTGCCACTGCCCGTCCGCCCCGGCCTCTTTCCCGTCTCCCGCTTCCTCCCTTGGCCTCCAGCCGTTCTTTCTCTTCCTCCAGCTAGCGGATCACCCGCACCCTCTTCTTTCTCCGCTGGGGTCGCGTCTCCTCGCCGCGTCTCGGGGAGCGTCTCGCCCCCTCCCCTCCCCCGCGCCAGCCCTTTGTTTCCCGGCGGAGCAGTTCCCGGGTTGCCCAGCGTCCCCGGCTCCGCATCTCTCTTCGCCCCGCCTCCTCCCAGCCTGGATCCGCCCCGCGCGCAGCCTCTCGGCGCTTCCTCCCCGCAGCCCCTGACCCCGAGGTGCCGGGGACCCACCTTCCCGGCTTCCCGGGCCGCGGCGCCCCCGCCGCCCGCCTTCCCCGGAGGGGGCCAGGTGGGCGGGCGCTAGCGTTGGGGGAGCGGGCTCCAGATTCCTCAGCCGGTTGGCTCGGGGTGGGACCGGCTGCGCTGGGGGGTGGGGAGGGGAGCGGATCCGAGCTGCCGGCAGCTGGTCCTCGCGGCTCGCTCCCTCCTTCGCACTCGCGCTCTCGGCCGCCCGCAGGGCTGCGCGGCTCGGTGGCATCTCGGGCGCGGCCCGCCGTCCTCGCCCCTGCCTCCGGGCCGCTCCCGCTCCCGCCCCCGGCGCCGCTCGCTTCCCCCCCAACCCCGGATTCCCCCATGTATGACGACTCCTACGTGCCCGGGTTTGAGGACTCGGAGGCGGTGAGTGTCCGTGGGGAGGGTGGGGGTGGGGGAGTTGGGGTGACACCTCTCTCTTCCACCCTTCCCCCAGTTCAGGACTTTGAGAACCGCCTGGGCGGCGGGGCGAAGCGCGTAGAAGGGCTTTCTAGGAAAGCGGGGAGATGGGTTTTCATGGCCAGGGCTCCCAAGTGCCCCAGACCTAGACCCGGGAGCATCAGGTGTAGGCACGGTGGGGCACTGTAGGGGGAAGGCGCGAGCAGGTGGCCCCCAAACTCAAGACAGACGGGGCACGGGGAGGAAGGGCTGAAGGCCCGGGCACTGAGGTTTTAGAGGGAACATGCAACGTCTGGAGTTAAAATGCTGGGTTTATGGGCTCTGAAGACAACACGAGAGACTGGGCTCCAGGGGAGACACTCCAGACCAGTGCCTCAAATAAATGACAAATAGGGAAGCTGGAAGAACATTCGAGTCGGGTGCCAGCCTCTCCAGACCGAGGAATCATAGAACTTGAGGACCTCCATATTCCTCTCTGCCCTCCACCTCTGCATACCGCCTGAACTCCTCACCCTGCCTCTAGTCCAGCTTCTCTCTCTCTCTGACTGAAAGGCCACCAGCCACATGGGTGGGCCATGGGACTGAGTTCTAACCGTTCCCCAGCACCCTGCTGAGGTTTCCTCTTAGCCCTGGGCATCCTGAGCCTGCTCAGCATGGAGGACCAGGAGGTGAGGCCAGAGGAGCTAAGAGCCTGGGGGTGGAAAGGAAGCTCTTTGCTCAAAGAACCAGGCAACCAATAAATATTTAATTCTCCTCTTTGCTTTTATCTCCTGACCCACTGAGACAAATCGGCTCATTAGGCAGTGATTCCCGGAGCTCAGAAAGAAGAAAGGATTGCCTGGAAAGGTGGGACAACAGTGGGGAGCAGCTTTGCAGCCCCTTGGAGCCAGCAACCTTCCCTGGACTGTCCCACCTGAAGGCCTTCTTAGGAAAGGACCTCAGGATGGCTTAGAAAGGTCCCCTGATGGGGTGGAGGGTGGAATACTCCTGGCTCTTGAAAGTACCCCTAGGTCAAGTCTCCTCCTGTCTGAAGCCCTAGGTAGTTGAGTACTGAATCTCAGAACAGGCATCTGTCAGTCGTGTCTGGGAGTAGGCTCCTTCCGGGCCCAGTTTTCCATGGGGCTCTGGGGCTAATTACATTGCCACTAGAGCAGATAGATGAGTTTCAAGGCTCGAGTGGGCACCTCTTTCTGGTAGTTAAAGGGACAGCTGGTGTAGAGCAAGGTAGCAGGGTGCTTGAGAGGAGACCTCTCTCAGACTGCAGGGCCCTGGTGAGAAGTCAAGCGCTGTTGCAAGGAAGAGACTGGCCTATGGATGATATGTGAGGGCAGCCTCCTGACCCTCTGTGTTCTTGAATTGCCCTCCCCCACTTCCCTGCCTCTGCTGATTCCTTAAGCTTCCTGAGGCCCCCTCTGAAGCAGTAGGAGGGAGATCATGCTCTAAATAAATCCACTGGGCTCATCTCCCTCCTCTTCTTCCCCCATGCCAGGCAAGAGAGGAGCTGCAGCCTGCCCACACACTCACCAGGCAAGGGGGGTACCACTAGGGCCCTGTGCCAACTCTGGCAGCTCCCAAGTACTGAGCCTCTGGTGTTTGGGCATAAAGAGGTGGGGGAGGTAAGACCCTAACATGTGTTCCACAGAGTTTTCTGACCTCTCTAAGTGATGCCAGGGCAGCATTGGCATTCCGAGGACTTGGGAATCAGGGGCAGGAGCTTACATTCTGAGCAGAAGCTCATAAAATATTTAGGAGGAGAGCCTGTCATTCCCTTCCTAGAGTTAAGAGGTCATCTGGCCCAGACAGGAGCACTGAGGGCTAAATTAGGCTGAGAGCTTGGACAGTTGGAAGTCAAGGCCAGACTCCTCCCAGCACCTGCTGGGCACCTAGGAAGTGGCTGATACACACACAGTGTGTAGTCATCCTGCCTTGCCTCCTGACTCTCTCAGTCTGCTGGCCTCTCTTCACTCAGCCAGCCACATCCCACAGAACTAGCTAGCATTTGTGTCCTAAGACACTTGGGATCAAGGTCCCTCACCCTATGCCAGGGTTCTTTGTGGGACCCAGCCTCTCTATCCTGCTATCTTGTTTGTTCTCCAGGGAAAGAGGAGCTGCAGGCAGACTCTACTTCTGTGAAACTGACAGCTTTCTCTTGGTGGACCGTCATGCCTTGGGTCTACTATAGACACAAGCTTTAGCTTGGATTCTGGGGCTGGCAGACACTGAGCTGACCAGCTCTCTTGCTCGGGCAGGGCTGGGGCAGGCATGATAGACAGCAGGTGTGTGCGTTTGCCTTATCCACAGTCTGGCTTCTGCAGCCTTCTAGATGGTCATACCCAGCAGGTTTGAGGGACTATTCCTCAGCCTGAGAACATTCTGGAGCCTTCCTCTTCCATCATGAACCCTCTACCTGGACTCCTACCTTTCCTACTCCACTGGCATTTCAGAATTGAGAGAAGAAACTTAGAGGCATCACTTAGAGAGGTGCTTCCAGGCACCTATACCTTAGGAGGAAAAACTGACAGGAAAGATTCCCTTTTCCCTAAATGAAGGAGAAACCAAGATAGCATAGCTTTCAGCTGCTTGTCTCAAAGTTTAGCTTTCCTTGTTTGATTGGCATCCACCTTGTGGCTTTGAAAGTGAAGTCTGCAACCCTTTAAATGTGCTGTCCTTGCTCCACGACTTTTCTATGGGCAGGACTCAAAGATTCTTCTTGCTCATATTACCAAAGACAGCGCCATCCCCAAGGTCCTGTATCTCAGCTGGGTTGCCTGGCACCAGCATAGCCTCTCTCCAGGGCCCAATATCCCTTGGGCCCAGGGAAAGAGTAGGAACATACAGGCCAGGTGGTAGGTGTGGCCCAGCCTCACCTGTATTCGGGTACCTAGCTTTGTGTTGCTTTCTCAGTCTATTTGCTACTCACATCCAGAATAGCAGGTGTGGGAGGAAAAGATGTAGTGAGTGGGAGAGCAAAGGGGAGGGAAATTTCAGGAGTCGGCAGCTTTGGGCCCAGCCTTTACCCTGAAAGGTCAAGCTTTTCTACTGTTTGAGGGCCTTCAAGGCCATGTAGTGGTCAGATGGCCATATCCTGACAGGACCAACCAACACCTCTCGTTTATTTGTTACTGCTTTGGAATTTTTTTTTAAATGTATTATTTCGTGTGCACGTGTGTGTGTGCGCACGCACCATGCCACTGAGCATGTATGGAAGTCAGAGGACAACTCTGAGGAGTTGGTTCTCCTCTTCCACTGTGGGTTCCAGGGTTTGAACTCAGGTCATCCATTTTGAGCAGAAAATGCCTTTACCTGCTGAGCCATCTCTCTGCCCTTCCCCACCTTTTTTGGAGGGAGGGTCTCAGGTAGCCCAGGCTAGCCCTGAACTCTAACTGAGGCTAGACTCAGTCTTCCTTCTTCTACCTCTCAGGTGCTGGGATTGCTGGGGTGCACCATCGTGCTCAGCTCTAGCCTCTCTTAGCAGTCAACTTAAAGGGGTAATATCCAGGCTGCTTCAGACTACTATTAGTGTGAGGGCCCAGTCTCCTGGATTCAGAACCACCTCCAGTATATCCTCTTCATACTTCTCCATTCTGCCCTCTGTTTCAGAAGGCATGGTAGAGAGAAAAAAAAGAGAAAAAAAGTGAGATTTTCTTCAGAGTTACAGTATTAATAGGTGCGTGGCAGTGGGGCCTGGATTTTTGCACTAATGGATTGGGCCAGCCTGCCTGGAGCCTCAGACACTGGGAGGCTGACAGAAGGCAGCATAGGGGTCAAACCGTGCCCTGGAAGATGGAGAAGCAGTGCCAGGGTTAGGAGGGTGTCTGTATGGTACCCTTTACTTGGAGCCTAGGAGTCACAGCCTCTCTTCCATCCCAGGGTTCAGCCGACTCCTACACCAGCCGCCCCTCTCTGGATTCGGACGTCTCCCTGGAGGAGGACCGGGAGAGTGCCCGGCGCGAGGTGGAAAGTCAGGCTCAGCAGCAGCTTGAGAGGGCCAAGGTAGACATTCTGGCAGGAGGCCAGGTTGGGTGCAAACCTGTGCTGGATGCTGGGTCCCCAGGGTGGGGACAGAGTAAACATGAGTGTAGAAAAGTGTGTGTGTGTGGCCGGCAAGAGGCTTCTCATCCAGGTCCTCTGCCTCCCCCATGAGGTGACTGATGGTTTAATTCCCCAGCACAAACCTGTGGCATTTGCTGTGAGAACCAATGTCAGCTACTGTGGTGTGCTGGATGAGGAGTGCCCAGTCCAGGGCTCTGGAGTCAACTTTGAGGCCAAAGATTTTCTGCACATTAAAGAGGTGATCAACCCCATTCTCCCCAGCAGCCTCCTACAGCACTTAGTTTCCCAGCTGCTGTCCCGCCCCCTCTTCAGTTTTGTCTATAAGTCCCAGCGCCTCCACTTTTACCCTTATGCACACCTGTATACCCCTCATACCCAAGATATGATTGCAAGGGTCTCTACCCTTCTAAGACCCGTCTGGGTCCTCAGGTTCTGTGTCTGTAAAGTGGGCAGTTAGAGTATCCAACTGTAAGCGTCTCCCTTGATGCCACACTCTGAGGCCCCATGGCTTGTGACTTGGCTACCCTTTGTTGAGATAGTTGTCTTCTCAATAGCCTTTCCTCTGCCCCTTATCCAACTGTAAGCGTCTCCCTTGATGCCACACTCTGAGGCCCCATGGCTACCCTTTGTTGAGATAGTTGTCTTCTCAATAGCCTTTCCTCTGCCCCCCTTAAACCAGTTTCCCGAGGCTTCCCTGCCTCCTTCACAGTGAGCCAGGCAGAAGCCCTGGCAAACTTCTCACAGCTCCTTCCTGATCCCGCCCCACTCCCAGAAATACAGCAATGACTGGTGGATCGGGAGGCTAGTGAAAGAGGGCGGGGACATCGCCTTCATCCCCAGCCCCCAGCGCCTGGAGAGCATCCGGCTCAAACAGGAGCAGAAGGCCAGGTGAGAGCAAGGCTGAGATCAGTAAAACACTGTCTCAACACATGCACCTGACCCACAGAACTTAGCCATGCACTTACACAGTGCATATCTATACACACGTAATTGCGCACATAGCATTCATGCTCAGCTCTCATGAAAGGAGGTAGAAATTTCTACCAACAGAGACACATTCATATTCTACCCTTCCCCTTCCCCTTCTCTCAGGAGATCCGGGAACCCCTCCAGCCTGAGTGACATTGGCAACCGACGCTCTCCTCCTCCATCTCTAGGTAGCCTCTCCCCAGCTTGCCCACCTTGGGCAGATGGGTAACTAAGACGAAGTGGCAGGGGATTCTTCTCAGTGAGCTTTGTGGGAAGGGGTGGGTAGAGGGGTCAAAAGAGCTGGGAGAGGCCAGCTGGGGAAGGGACTACCATGTCCCTGGGGCCTTTTCCCTTCACCAACTTTAATCTTTTATTTCCTTTTCCAAAAAGCCAAGCAGAAGCAAAAGCAGGTGAGTCAAGAAAGGGACCTGGGCCAGGGGAGGGTATGGATTATGGCTCTGGGGACACTTCTGGGCAGTCAGTTGCTAATGCCCAGCAGAACAGGGGAGGGAGACCCAGAACTCTCGACTCTGCTCCCAGAGCAGTCAGGCATAAAGCGGGCACCAGGCCAAGATTTTGTCTGACCTCCTGGCCATTCTGCAGACGGAACATGTTCCCCCATATGATGTGGTGCCCTCCATGCGGCCCGTGGTGCTGGTGGGACCCTCTCTGAAAGGTTATGAGGTGAGAGGAAATTCCCAACCCCAGAGTTAGCTCTTCCAAACCTGCCACAGGAAGGCTTCAAGGGCAATGGGAGGGTCTGTGTGGAGGGGGTGGACTCTGCTTGGGGACACTGCCTCTGTCCAGGAGCCTTCTGTCAGCACCACACCCTGTCTTCCAGGTCACAGACATGATGCAGAAGGCACTCTTCGACTTCCTTAAACACAGGTTTGATGGCAGGTAAGCTTCCCTGTCCTGGAATGGAAAATCATTGTCTCTTCCACATGCCCAGAGCTAGTCACCTTTAAAGGGAAAGTTCAAGAGCTGGGTAAGGAAGGCCATAGGTCAGAAGGCAGCTGTGACTCTCCACCCCACCCTAGGATCTCCATCACCCGAGTCACAGCTGACCTCTCACTGGCGAAGCGGTCTGTGCTCAACAATCCTGGCAAGAGGACCATCATTGAGCGCTCCTCTGCGCGCTCTAGTATTGGTGAGGGCTCCTTTTCTCCTGTTTCTCTGCCTACTGGATGCTAGTGAAAATCCCCTTCTCTTCCCCAATCCTTTTTGCCCATGTCCACCAACAGCCCCAGCATTGCCCTCCTTGATTCCCTAGTCCTCTGCCTGCCCAGGATGTCAGGTCCTTCCTGTCTACCATGTAGCAGTCCTCAAAGCCCCGGAAGTAGCATTGGGCAGAGCCCTTGGTGAGCTGCTCCCCTTCCTTAGCTGAAGTACAGAGTGAGATTGAGCGCATATTCGAGCTGGCCAAATCCCTGCAGCTAGTGGTGTTGGATGCTGATACCATCAACCACCCAGCACAGCTAGCCAAGACCTCACTGGCCCCTATCATCGTCTTTGTCAAAGTATCTTCACCCAAGGTAAGTGAGCTGGGGTGATGGGGGACCCACAGAGGGTGCTCCCTAGAATGTAGTATATCATTGCCTAAGTCCTGCCTGGGGTGATGGGTTCCTTTTCCTGCCGTCCCTTAACACCACTGTGAGTCATCCTCTCCTGGTACTTACTAATGTAATAGTCCAAGTAGTGGATGTGCCTCGTTCCAGGCCTAGCTCTCCCCTTCTACCTCAGGTACTACAGCGACTCATCCGCTCCAGGGGGAAGTCACAGATGAAGCATCTGACTGTGCAGATGATGGCATACGATAAGCTGGTTCAGTGCCCACCGGTGAGTGCCTGGGTCAGCAGCAATCACTCCCTATTCCAGAGTGTGGGAGATACAGAGATAGGTAAGGCTGTCTGTCCGGAGAAGGTCAACCTTCCCACATCCTCCCTCCCCAGGAGTCATTTGATGTGATACTGGATGAGAACCAGCTGGAGGATGCCTGTGAGCACCTGGCTGAGTACCTAGAGGTTTACTGGAGAGCTACTCACCATCCAGCCCCTGGCCCTGGACTTCTGGGTCCTCCCAGTGCCATCCCTGGACTTCAGGTAACCACTTTCAGTGGATACAAATGTGCAGGCTAATAGCCAAAGCAAAGTCCTACCCTACCCAGAGCCAAGGGACTGCTGAGCTCTCGGCTCTGCTGTAGTTTGCTATACATGGGCCAAGGAACTTCCTGATTGAAGAGAGTACAGTAAATCGATGAGATGAGCAATCAGAAATGGGCCTTCAAGGGGTCAAAGGAAACATCCTCTCCAAACCTTTCTCCCAGTTGTTTCTGAAGGAAAGCCTGACTTTACAGGAGCCTAATGGCTCCAGTTTTCTGTATCTGACCTGGAAGAGTACCCTAGTTTACTTTCAATTTTGTATAAGTATGAACTGAGAGCAGAGAGGTAAGAATTCCCCCACCCTGCCAGTGGTGGGAGGGAACAAAGGCCAGGTCTGTGCTGCCTCACTTAGAGCTATTGTGTGGCCCCCAGAACCAGCAACTGCTGGGAGAGCGAGGTGAGGAGCATTCACCCCTGGAGCGGGACAGCTTGATGCCCTCCGATGAGGCCAGCGAGAGCTCCCGCCAGGCCTGGACCGGATCTTCACAGCGCAGCTCCCGCCACCTGGAAGAGGACTATGCAGATGCCTACCAGGACCTGTACCAGCCTCACCGCCAACACACCTCGGGGCTGCCCAGTACTAATGGACATGACCCCCAAGACCGGCTCCTAGCCCAGGACTCGGAGCACAACCACAATGACCGGAACTGGCAGCGCAACCGGCCTTGGCCCAAGGATAGCTACTGACCACCTCCTGCCCTAACTTGGCAGGCACGGGCACAGCTGGCCGGGATGCCCTCTCCAGGCAGGTTGGAGTTAGACTGGCATTTGGCTGCCACTAGGCTCAGCTCCCGCAACCCCCTGCCCAGCCCCAGCTACAGGGATGACTGTGGTCCCAAGGTTCTGGGAGAAGCAAGGGGCCTCCTCACCTCCTGGGCACAGTGACCCCATAGGCTCCCATTCCAGGTACTAGCTGTGTTCTGCACCCCTGGCACCTTCCTCACCTCCTGCACAAGAAGCTGCCCCAGTGGGCCATGATCTCAAGCCAAGATCACTTTAGCAGGGGACGTCCCACCAGACTCAGGGAAGGGATGCCCCTTTGAGTGACGAGGGTGGGGGCAACATGACATGAGGAAGAAGCAAGGTTTCTGAGCAGGAACAAGTCCTAAGTCGAAGAGACTCAGGTTTTTTTGGGGTTCGAGGGCCTCCACTCACCTCACTGCCACACGTCAGAAATGAGACAGTCAAGAGCCCGACGTTGTGGTACTCCTGTCCATCAGCTGGGGTGGGACATTTACATCCAGGACTGGAGCAGCAGGCGGGCGAAGCTGGGTTAGACACCTCACAGCTGATGCTCTGGGAGGAAAGGGCCTCACCACATCAGGAAACATCTGACAAAACTAGGGAATTGGATGGACTGTGGTCAAACCAAAAGGAGCCAGCCTGGACTGGAGTTGTCGGGAGGGGGGGGGCTTTGGGGCCCCCTTGCCTTCCTCATTCTTTTACCCTTGCATCTGTCATTTCTGTTTTTCCTCCATGCCTCCTGCAAGATAGGGGCTCCAGACCTTATTCCCCGACTCCTAGCCGCTGCTTGTTACATTAGGGTTAGATGGGGAGAATAGGACACAGTGGACAGCCCCTAGAGGCCCTGTCTACCTGGCTACCCTTGCCTTACGGCTCTAGCGTGTGACCTACAGAGCATGCTCCACAAAAACCTGCCCCACCTCACTATCATCTCCAATAAAACACCATGCACAGTCCCTCAGGTGTCTATCTGCTGGTTCATATAGGTATGTGTCTCATCATGTAGGCTAAGTCTGGCAGAGGTGAAGTATGCCGGCCCCTTTTTCTGTCCAAGGATCCATGGGTGGGAAGGGAAAAATGGCAGTTCCAGGAAGCACTGTCCTAGCAGCCCCACATCCTTGTGTCCTGGTATCTGCAGGCATCTACCTGGCAGTACAAAAGGGACTTGTTCTGAGAGATGAGGAAGAGGCTTAGTGCTTCTGCTGTCCGTGCCTCGGGCCAGAAGGACCCTACAAATAACTACAACCTGAATACCACATACTTGCCCAGCTTTGAGGGGTAAGAAGAGGGCCACTGGGCTTGGAGGGAGGACCATTGATCTGTGGTCGTCTTGTGACATAACAGTGGGGTCCACTCCTTGAGGCCTCTAGTGCCCACCCTTCAACCATCTTCTCCCATGAGCAGTGTTCTCAGCAAGGGTTCAAAGCTAGACGTCAGGTACATAGCACAGAAGTATGGCTATAATTGCTTCCCTTTCTCATCCTGTGTAAAGCTCTCTAGCAGGTAATGGGGACAAAGCCCCGAGTTAACCGAGACAAGAAGGGTGTACTGTGATCTTGCTACTGTGCTTTGCCAACTGCCCTCTAGTGCTCCCTTCAGACAAGACTGAGAAGTTGGGCCTTTCACAATGTGACCATCTTTCATTTTCCCAGCCCACCCAGTGCTATTCTTGTTCACTGTGGTTCCTAGGAAAGCCTAGGAGGGAATTTTAGCCATAACACAGCCTTAATATTTATGTATTTATTCTCAGAACATACAAACTTATCTTCTCAGAGAATAGAAAACAGAAATTTCACTCAGTGACTTAAAAATGGACACAGCCAGCTCACCCTGTCCCCATATCTAAAAAAAAAATCCCTGGGGGAGGGATGCCTAGAGTGCACAGCACCCGTGGCACAGGACTGTAGAGTTCTAAAGGCTCTCAACCTGTTTTATACTCCAAATGGGAAAACGGTTGTCAAAGTGACAGAGTCCAAGGTCCACAATCCTCATGGTACCGGATCCCCTGGGTCATTTCGGGAACAACGTCACTGCAGCATACAGTTACACATTGACATCTGCTGAAGGTTTCATCCGCCTAACCAGGTACTGTTCAGTCTTGGGGTAATGCTACACAGGTACCCCATAACCAGGACAGTCACAAAGCAGTGAAGGGCAAAGATGAGCCAACACTGGTAACTGTTCTCCCTGCCTCCTACAGCATCTTCCTGTCCCTTTGCAGCCCACACACAGGTCTCCAGACCTGAAGGTCTAGGCCAGGAAGTCTGTTTCCTAAGCCCCCAAAACCCAAGAATGAGAATCTGGAAAGAGGTACAAGGGTCTTAAGAATAGGAGTCAGACAGCTTCAAAGCATGCCCTTAATCCAGTGGAAATGTGTCAAGCAAAGATGGTCTCTTCCCGGCGCTTCTTGGTGAGGATGGTGCCTGGCTTGTGCTGGGCATCTGGGTGGTTGGCTAGCTCTGGGGGACAAGATGACACTGGGCTCTCCAGGATGGCTTGCTTCAGCTCATAGAACACAGCAGAGTCCTCTTTGGTGAGGAAGGTAATGGCTACACCACTCTTGCCTGCTCGCCCTGTGCGGCCAATGCGGTGGATGTAATCTAGGAAGCAGGAGAAACAGGACTCAGGACCAGGCCAGATGTCCTGGTGAGCGGTATCCACTCCTAAAGTCACCCTCCTCCCCAACAGACCCCCCTATGGGCAAGAAAGCCCCATCATGCTGTCTATACCACCTGGTATCCCACTTCCACTGCTGACTGGTCATACTTTAACACTAAGGGTCTCCTAGATCCATGCTTCACACCCCTAAGAACAGATGCTGTCCAAGGTGCTTGGACAACCATCCCCAGACCAGAGCGGAGTTCTTTAGTGCAGCACCCAAGAAAGTAGTCTCTTCTTACCCTGAATTGAAGCCACCTCCCCTGGCACTTACCTTCAATATTTTTGGCCATATCATAGTTGACGACCATAGATACATCTTGGATATCGATACCACGACCAGCCACATCTGTAGCCACCAAAATATCCTTGGCTCCGGCCTTGAGGTTGGACAGTGCAAACTCTCGCTGCTCCTGGCCTTTTCCACCATGCAGTGTACACGCATTGTACTGTTGGGAGAATGGAGAGGTGACGAACAGTGAGACCACAGGAAGGCAGAGGTAAACAGGGAATGGGAACGAGGAGGTTGGGGAGAGGAGCAGGCAGGAGAAAGCACAGGAGGCTGGAGAATGCATGAGCTCAAGTGAAGTGAGGAAAGAACAAGTGAGCTCAAGCGAGGGGTGGAAAAGAGGCGGGGTGTGGCGGGGGCAGACAGGGCAGGGGCAGAGACCTAGCAATCTGCAGCTGTGGAGCTGGGCAGAGGCGAAGTAAGGATCAGGGTGGAGAGTGGGGACTAAGAAACCGAAGGATGCTCAAGTGCACAGCGGTGAGTACACACCCTTCCCTCAAGCACCAGTATCAGGATACTGGTTGTCAGCATCTCCTTCCCTGACCCTTCCAAACACACACAGACAGCACTGACCCACTCCATACCATAGCCTCAGCCTCTGCCAACATGTCTCAAGAACCTTTCTCAGCACCGCCCCTCTTGGATGAAGACCCACAATGCCTTTAGCTGCGCATCCTAATTTCAGAAAGCAGCGCCATAGGGTTAGACTTTGCTCTTCCCTGCCAGACGTACCCCCATCTTCTCCAGGGACTTGGCCAACACATCACAACCCTTCTTCTGGTTGACAAAAATGATGATGGGTGGATCAAAACCTTGTTCCAAGATTGCCAGCAGCTTTTTCCTGGGGAGAAGAGGAAAAGAAAAATGAGACAGACAGACCTCCCAGCCCATGAAACAACCTAACCCCAACTTAATGAACAGCAGCAATTCCAGGGTCTCCAACACCCATGGCATTGCCAAGATGCAAACATTAAGTTCAATACAGTGAGCAGTCACCTGCAGCTGCCACTCACATTGAAAGACACTGTTAAGGCTGGGGGTGTGGTGGCAGCACGCCTTTAGTCCCAGCACTCGAGAGGCAGAGGCAGGCAGATCTCTGTGAGTTCAAGGCCAGCCTGGTCTATATAGTGAGTTCCAGGCCAGCTGAGGCTACAGGGAGACCCTGTCTCAAAAAGACCAAAAAGACCAAAAAAAAAAAGTTAAGCACAAGCCCCCTCTTTCCACTTGGGATTCCCCAGCTTAGCTGCCCACATACCTCTTTTCTGACTCTGACATAAGGAAGACTTTCTGTTCCACACGTTCATGGGGCTTGCCTGCAGAGCCAATGTACACCACAGCAGGTCGCCGGAGATAGCTTCTGGCTAGACGCTCCACTGCTGGAGGCATGGTAGCCGTGAACATGACTGTCTATGAAAACAGGAAGTTCAGTCCTGGGCCCAGACAGATGTTAACCACACACCGCACTTTCACAAGGAGCTCAGTTCAAGCTAAAAAAACTTTAATCTAGTCCTGCTATAAGTCTGATAGTTGTCACCTGAGAAAATAGCGTCCTTTGTCTTCCTGTCCTTTTTTCTCAGTACCTGTTCATCAAGGCACTTTACATCTTTTTTTTTTTTTTTTTTTTTTTATTGAGACAGGGTCTCCCTGAAGCCCCAGCTGTCCTGGAACTCACTACGTAGACCAAGCTGGCCTTGACCTCACAGAGATCTGCCTGCCTCTGCCTCCCAAGTGCTGGGACTACAGGCGTGCACCACCACGCCCGGCTGGCACTTTACATCTTAGGAGGCCAAGAAGGACTGAGAGCATTTTCTGGCACCTGTGATCCAGGTACTAGCATGATTCCTTATTTTGTATAGTTTCTTTGTGACAGGATCTTGCTATGTAGCTTTAGCTAGCCTGGAACTCATTACGTAACCAAAGCTAGCCTTGAACCTGTGGCAATCCTCCTGCCATTCCCTCCCAGGTGCCAGAATGATGGGCTTAAGCCAGGCTTTTTTTTTCTTGTCTTTTTTGAGTAGCATGATTCTTTAGAATCACTTTTCTGGGACTTAGCCACATGGCTCCACCCCTCGGACTGTCAGACGAATGCACCTAGGCACACTTTAGCATTCTGGAAGCTTGTATACTGGATCTACCCTTGGCAAGAAAGATCTAAAAGATTTGGGAACTTGCCCAGTTTCTCCCAGAAAGCCTTACTTGGCGGTACTTATGTTTTCCTGACTCAAAGTTGGCCAACATCTTCTCTGGGTCCTCAGCCTCATCCGTGTCCGGCTTCTGGTTGCTGACAGGCATGTGTTCCAGGATCTTCTGGACGTCTGGCTCAAAGCCCATGTCAATCATCCTATCTGCCTCATCCAGAACCACATAGGTACAGCGGCTCAGCACCAAGTATCGGTTCTCCAGCACATCAATCAGACGTCCCGGGGTGGCGATCACAATCTGGGAGGTACAGTATAATCACACATTGCCCCAAAAGCCACTCCCTTCTTTCCTCTGCTACGAACTATGCACCCACTTGGGCCCAAGAACTGACATGAATTCATTTGCAGTTACCTTAGACTTTTTTCAGGAATAAACAGGGTTTCTGAGTAAGATCCAGGGGTTAGGCAGGTGGCAAAATAAAGAGGAACCTTCCTAGACAGAAAGGCTAAGGAGTACTTGAAGGAGCTATATGGAGAGATCACACTGAGAGGTCTACACACGACTCCGCCCCCATGGCAGACTTCTAAAAGGCTCGTTCATCTCTCCTAGAAAGGCAGTGCATGCCTACAACATGGTTTGACGGAGTAATGAGAACAGGCTCTGGATATGAGCATTCCCTCTCCCATATGGCTCACTACCAGACATGTGTGACTTCAGGCAAGTTGCGCCTCAGCTCCACCGATAAAACAGCACAAAATCTGTAGTACTACCTACTTCAGTGTGGCTGTTGTAAGAATTACTGCTGGCTAGAGAAACAAACCTCACAACCCATGCGCAGCCTGAAGCCTTGATCTTCTCTGGAGATGCCACCAATGACAGCCACAGTTCGGATACCTAGTGGTTTTCCAAACTTGATGGTCTCTTCCTCAATCTGCTGAGCCAACTCACGGGTAGGAGCCAGAATGATGGCATAAGGGCCCTGGTCTGACTCTTCAATCCTGTGGTAAACAGGGCGTCCCAGAGCTTCATAAACCTTTGTTCTCATTCAACCACAAACACAAGCAGGACAGGCTCACTCTTCAGAACAGCTATAGGAATGGGCAGGCTGATGGAAAGGTGTGGTGATCCTGTATAAAACTCCAGACTCTAGAATAACCAAGATCTCCATGGAGTGATCCTTGCTAGCAACAAAATCACACACTTCTTTGATGTCATTAATTATTCCCTAACATCCAACTCAGAATGAAAAAAAGAACTTCTGAAAATACCTTAATTTTTTTCCTAAAATAAAAGTAGTTAAAAAAAAAATAGGCCAGGCATGGTGGCACACATATTTAATCCCAACACTCGGGAGGCAGAGCCAGGCAGATCTCTGTGAGATCCAGTCCAGCCTGGTCTACACAGTGAATTCCAGGCCAGCTGGGGCTACAGGGAGACCCTGTCTCAAAAAAGACATGATAGATAGATACAGAGTGAGAGAGAGAGAGGGAGGGAGAAAGAGAGAGCAATAAATATAAAAAAATGGGCTGAAGGTATCAGAGGTAAAGCCTAATACTCAATCCCCAGCACCACATAAAACCAGGTGTGGTGGTATACACCTATAACACCAGAAATAGGTGAGAGGTGAAGGCCAGAGGATCAGAAGTGTAAGATCATCTTTGACTACATAGGGAATTTAAGGCCTGTGTAAAAACAACAAAAACCCTTACTCATTCACTCGTTTGCCTCATCTTTCCTACCCAGCCAAATCTACTCCAACTGATGCCAGCTGCCCCCACCTGTCAATTTTAGGAAGCGTGGTGATCCAGACCAGCAATGGGATGAGGAAGGCTGCTGTCTTGCCACTGCCAGTTTCGGCCACACCAATGATGTCACGATTCTGAAGCCCAATGGGAATTGCCTGACGCTGGATGGGTGTTGGCTCCTACATAAACCAAGAGCAGAGGTACAGGCAGAATTATACTTGCTGGGATACTACCACAGTGGGCACACATGCTACTCCAAAGTACCTGAGACCCACAGGAAAGGGGACCAAAGGCAAAACAATCCCCAAAGGTCCACACTTCCAAGAGTATGAAAGGCATGATTAGTTTGGTACCATGGGAACAGAAAGCACCAAATAGTTAAGGAACAAAGTTCTCCAATTCCAAACTCCATTTATAGTCCAAGACTACAGAAATATGGCAGATTTCCTGGGCCAATCTGCCCCTTTACCTTGTAGCCACACTTATCAATGACTTCCAAGATATGTGGAGGCAGAGAAGAGTCTTTCCAGGATCGGATAGGATTGGGGATCTTGCCCCCTTTGGTGGTGATGCTATAGTCCTCACGGAAGATCCGCCAGTCCCTGTCTGTCATCTCATCTAACTTCTTCTGAGACCAATGGCGGTCATCCCAGCGCTGCTTGGCTTCCTTCTTGCGAAGTTTGCGGAGTCTTGCCCTGAAACAGGACACGAGGATTAAACAGAATCGGTCCACTCCTCTGGGCTCTGTCCAAACAACCCTGGCCTCAAACACTCACTCCTCCTGCTCCTTCTCTTCCAGGGTTCGCCTCTTTTCCATTAGATCACCATAGAAACGTGACTGCTCTCGTTTCTGCTGCTTTAGGTCAATGCCTGCGATGAAGCCTCGCCCCAAGAGCTGCACCTGGTGCCGTTCCTTGTACCTGAGAATGAAACGGAAGGAGGAAAAGGCGCTGTCATGGCCGCAGAAGGGAAGGGCGGACTGCCAGTATGCGATCGGTCTTCCCAGCCAGTGTCCTTCCACACCCAGAATGCAATTTCTGCATCCTAGCTCATCTTTCTTTTCTTTTCTCTAAGACTACCTAGTGTCCAAGACCCAGCATGCAGGTGGAAAGCCACTCACAGAGGGTTGTAGTCAATGGAGGTGTCTTCAGATGCATCCCACTCAAAGACAAATTTGCGGTCATTGAGATGCCTTGTTCGGCGCCGTTTTTTGATGCCACCCAGATAACGCTCCTACTCAGGGAGAAAACAAAGCCCATCAATCTCAAGGTCCAAATTTCACAGGCAGAGCCAGAATGGCCACATTACTAAGCCTTGTTTGCGGGGTAGTCACCTTAATGGCATGCAGCTCCTTGCTCTTATCCTTCTCTTCCCGGATCTTCTGTCGCCCTTCCTCATCCTCGTTTCCATTGGTCTCTCGCTCCATCCTCTCTCTTCGTTCTCGTCGTTCCCGTTCCTGAGGGTCTTCTGGAGACCAAAGAAAGGAAAGCTGCAGAAGAGCTCAGTGAAAGGAAGGGGCAATGGGAGGACTCTGTCGATAGATACTGAGGAAACGGGCAGATGTGTGACAAAGCAAAAGGTCTGACTGAGGGCCCATAAACTTCCACGATTCTACCCTCTTTCAAACTCTGGAACAAACACCCCCGCCCCTGAGTGTTGAGGATCAAACTCAGGGCCTTACATATTCTAGGCAAATATTTTACCACTGAGCACTATCACCAGCCCGGTTTCTATCTCTTTTAAATGATGCCATAATTAATTCCATCCCACCCTTTCGACACAGGCTATCAATACAAACCCAGCATTTTCCTGCCCAAGTCCTGGAACTGTTTTCTCTTTTTCCTCTCTTCTTCAAGCATCCTCTGTCTCTCTTCCACCTCCTGCTGCCGTCGCTTTAAAGCTTCAGCCTCCCGCTCCGCTTTAGAGAGGAACTTGGGCTGCAAGACAGATGGGAACTGTTAACAAAGGGTCTAGGGACTGGGAGCAATCACACCTCTGCTCCAGAGACCACAAGAAGCCCAATAATAGTTGCTTAGGCATTAAATCTGTTGAGAAAAATACAGAGGCCTAGGACTCTGCCATGACTAAAACTTCTCTTCATCATTCACAATTTCAGTCCCTAACCTTTAGTACCTCAACATTTAAACTTTCGGTACCTCAGAATGTTTACTCATTTGGAGATGGGGTCTTTAAAGAAATGACTAAGGTAAGCCAGGCGTGGTGGTGCAGGCCTTTAATCCCAGCACTCGGGAGGTAGAGACAGGTGGATCTCTGTGAGTTCAAGGCCATCCTGGTCTACATAGTGAGTTCCAGGACAGCTGGGGCTACAGGGAGACCCTGTCTCAAAAAGACCAAAAAAAAAAAAAAAAAAAAAGAAATGACTAAGTTAAAATGGGGCTCTCAGAGTAGGCCCTAGTCCAGTCTGATCAGTGCTTTATAAGACAAGGAAGGGCTGGACTGGGCTGGGATATAGCTCACTGGTACCACATCTGCCTAACACGCATTAGGCTCTGGATTCAATTCTCAAAAAGAAAAGAAAAACGCCAGGCCTGGTGACACATGCCTACATTCCTAGCTACTTAGGGAGGCTGAGGCAGGAGGATTGCCAATTCAAGATTCTAAAATTCTGGGCAATTTAGTGAGACCTGGTCTCCAAATTGAAAGTAAAAAGAATGCTGGTGATGTAGTTTAGTGACACAGCAACAACTGTCCAGCAGGTAAAGTCTTGGGTTTAATCCCTAGTTCAAAACAAACAAACAACAAAACAAAACATGGAGACTACTCCAGGGATATCAAGAACATGAGCACACAAAGGGATGACTGTAAGGACAAAGAAGGCATCCATAAGCGAAGGACAGGGGCCTCAGAAGAAATAACTACTGATATTTGAGCTTAAACTTCTAACTTCCAGAACTGCAAGAAAATAATCTGGAGGCTGGAGAGATGGCTCAGCGGTCAAGAGTACTGACTGTTCTTACAGAGGACCTAGGCTCAAACCCCAGCACCCACACAGCAGCCAACAACCATCCGTAGCTCCAGTTCTAGGGGATGTGACACCCTCTTCTGACCTCTGTGGGCATTGCACAACACAGGTGCACTTACATTCACACAGGCATAACACTTGTACACATAAAATAAAAATAAACAAATCAAAAGAAAATAATCTGTTGTTGAGGCCACCCAGTCTGTGGCATTTTGTTATAGCAACCAAAGCACACAAATAAAGTTCTTACCTTAGCTTCCGCTTCCTCCTCAGCCTTTTTCTTAGCCAGAAGTTCCTCCAAGGATAGTGGCTGAATCTAAAGATAAAACACAAGAGTTTAGTTCCCAAACATGCTCTCCCTTTGGATCAGCAAAGCAGGACTCAAGCTGAAGAGAAGACAGAACAATCATCTGTCTCATTTACCTTTGGTTTCTTATCACCATGCTCATCCTCTCCATCCTTCTTAGGGTCTCTGTCCTTCCGAGATTTAAAGTCTTTCCCTCGGCCAGGAGATAAGCTTTACGAAAAAAGAAGGGGGAAGTCCCAAGAAGAGGACAGAAGCCTTCCCATTACTCACAACAAGACTATCCCATGGTCAACCACCATGTCCCAAACTCTCTTAGGAAGCCCTAATTCCTCTGCCAGCCCTGAAACCTAATTGTGGCCCTATCTTGGCTCCAATCCACCTGAATCTCCTTTTCTGATTAATCCCTCCTGGAACTGGGCTTTCACTACTGCTACCAAAATTCTAAAGAAGCCGGGCGCGGTGGCACACTGCTTAAAGAAGCCTTCAATCCCAGGGCTTGGGAAGCACAGGCAAGGGGACCTCTATGAGTCCTAGGTAAGCTAGAGCTACAGGGAGACCCTGTCTCTAAAAAAACCACCAAAAAAATCTAAAGAGCAAGCAAGGCAGGTGTGATAGCTCATATTTGCAATCCTAGCACTCAGAATTACTGCCAAGTTCAAGGCCACCCTGGCTACAAAGTGAGACTTTGTATCAAAAACAATCAATAAACAGAAAACCCCACCAAACCAGCTAGGTGTGGTAGTTTGTCTGCAATTCCAGTACACAAGAGGCTAAGGGAGGAGAACCCCAAGTTTCAGGTCAGCCTAAACTACATAGTGAGTTCCAAGTCAGCCTGAAATACAGCAAGACCCTGCCTCAGAAAACAAAACAAAGAAACAAAAAGAATTGAAAATTGAAAAACTTCAAATAGCTGTACATTTTTTTAAATTTAACACTGTAAAAATATGGACGCTTCACGAATTTGCATGTCATCCTTGCACGGGGCCGGGCTAATCTTCTCTGTATCGCTCCAATTTTAGTGCATGTGCTGCCAAAGCGAGCACAGCTGTACATTTTTTAAAATCCTTAACTTTATTATAGTACAGAGTAAACTGAGCTCAGGTGTCCGGGACCTCCACAAGTCAAGGCGATATTGCATTTGTACCCTGATCATCTTTCTACTGAGCTGAAGCCCCAGCCTAGTTTTCTTCTACTTCCTATATGTTCTAAGTTATAGCTTTATTGTTTCTACAACGAGCATTCTGTCCTTTGCCTGGAGTTTTAACCACACATGAAGAGTCACAGAACTTTGCAGAGGGTGTTTCTCCCTTGAAGGTTCTCCCAATCTCAAGAGTTCTCTTTTTAAAAAAATTTTATGGGGCTGGAGAGACGGCTCAGAGGTTAAGAGCACTGACTGCTCTTATAGAGGACTCAAGTTCAATTCCCAGCACCCAAATGGCAGCTAACAACTGTCCATAACTCCAGTTTTACGGGATCTGATGCCCTCTTCTGACCTCTGTGGGCAGTACACAACACAGGTGCACTTATACGCATGCAAGCAATACACTCATAGAATAAAAATAAATTTTTAAAAATATTTTATTTTTATTATTTTTATGTGTATGTATGTATTGCCTGTGTGTAGGTAAGTGCACCCGTGTCATGCAATGCCCGTGGAGGACAGAAGAGGTTGTTGGATCCCCAGGAACTGGAGTTACAGACAGTTGCTAACTGCCATGTGGGTGCTGGGATTCGAACCTGGGTCTTCTGCAAGAACAACCAGTGTTCTTAACCGCTGAGCCATCTCTCCAGCCCCCAAAAATAAAATATTAAAAAAAAAAATTTATAACAGCTAGTGTATGTATGTGTGTGGGGGGGGTCAGCTCTCTCCTTCCACCAGGTAGGTCCCCAGGATCAAACTCAGGTTGTCAGACTTGCTGGTGAGCAAGTGCTTTAACTCACTGAGCCATCTCACCTCCAGCCCTCAGGAGCTCTCGCTAACCCTTTCCTTAGTAAATCTATATCTGTCCCACTCAAAAAAATAAAAATAAAAATAAAAATAAAATAACTTTGCACAGAAAGTTCCCAAAGAAATCAAGACAGACATTAAGAGTTCAAGGCCCTCCATGGCTGGATAGTGAGTTCCAGGCTACTCGGGGAACAACGACTAAACAAACAACAAATGAAAAAGAAGACAGACTTTCTGAGGAAGACCGTTCTGTAATAATACCATGAGGATCTGAGAAATCCGCCTTTTCCCATGATGCTGAGCTGCAGAGTGGAAAGGGTGGAAGCCCCAGCCACCCCGTTCCCTCCGTACCTGGACCGCTTACGGTCCTTGTCCCGGCGGTGTCCATCCTTGTCTCGGTCTCGGTCCTTCTTGTTCCGATCCCGTTCCTTCTCTCGATCTCGCTCTTTGTGCCGCCGTTCTCTGGAAGACAGCAAATTTAAGAGATCACTTGATATTTCCAGAGTGTTCGCTTCACTACAGCCCTGAGAAGATTCCTGTGCTCTTCTCTCTTCAAAGTAATGTTTACCTCACTGGGAATGTAGTTCTCAGGGAAGTTATGAGGGAATTCTAATAAAGTGCGTGCATGTGTGCGTGCGTGCCTGTGTGGTGCGTATATATGTGTGCATTCATGTTAGTGTACGGGGATACCTCAGGGCACATATAGGCAGGACATCAGATGTCTTCCTCTTAGCCTCAATGCTGTGATACAACCTCTCTCACTGAATTAGAAGCTCACAATTTTGGCTAAACTGGATGGCCAATAGTTCTTGAGATCCATCTGTCTCTATTCCCCAAAGCTAGGGTTACAGACGCATACCGTCTGGCTTTTTATGTGGGTGCTAGGGATTTGAACTCAAGTCTTCGTGCTTACCACTAAGACATCTCCCTAACCCCTCCATTTTATTTTTTGAAACAGGGTCTCTCACTGAACCTGGAGCTGACCAATTGGCTAGGCTGGCTGGCCAGGCAAGTCCCCATATTCTTTCTGTCTAGCCCTGGGATTACAGGCTCACGCTGCCATGCCCAGCTTTTCACATGGGTACTAAGAATCCAAACTCAGATCCTTGGTTCTCATGCAAGCAAGCGCTTTACCACTGAGCCAACTTCCCAGCCCATTAGAAGACCTTACAGATCAGAGCTGTACTTCTATTTATCAACAGCAGGGATAGATTACAGACTAGAACAGGTGAACCACCTTCCTCAATCATCTGGAGCTTCAATTTACAAGCTTATCTTCAACCTTAGAGCTGGGTGCTACGGCAAACACCTATAACCCCATCACTCAGGAAGCTGAAACAAGAGAATCATCAGAAGTTCCTGTCCAGCCTAGGCTACACAGCAAGACTTCATCTCAGAAAACCAGAGAGAGAGAGAGACAGAGAGAGAGAGAGACAGAGAGAGAGACAGAGAGAGGGAGAGAGAACGAGCTGAAAGCGCTTGCAGGTCCAACTGGGACAAGGGTAGGTTAACGTGAAAAGTAGATGTTTAATCCTGGAGGCATCAGAGGAACCAAGAAAGAAGTCTGGAATATTTTCTCCTTTCTCATGTAAAGGAGTACAGTCACTTTACCTCTCTGCAGACTTAGAACGGGAACGAGATCGAGAGCGGCTACCACCACGACGTCTATCCCTAGACCGATGCCGCTTCCTATCTTTAGATGGGGAAGACTTCCGGTCCCGGTCTCTGTCTCGCTCTCTGTCAGGAGTCCGGGATCGCTTTCTTTCCTCCTTAGAAGGTGACACATCTCGGTCCTTTTTGTCAGCCAGTTCTCCTGCCATCTGTGTGAGACAAGTGTTTATTATGTACAGTTCACTAAATCTCGGGACAATCCTGAGGCACATGTACCCACTTCATAGATGAGGGACCAGGCTCAGGCACATACACTGACCTACCTGAGCAAAGCAAGCACTACACAGCAGAGCTGCAGAAGTCTGCAAAGGCCCATTCTCGCTACACTACACTGCCTCCCTGTGACTCCCTTCTATGCATTCACTTGTTATTTTGAGACAGGGTCTCATTCTGTAGCATGCGCTGTATTGGAATTCACTGTGACACACAGGCTGGCTTTGAACCCATGGTGATCCTCCTGCATCAGCCTCCCATGTGCTAGTACAGGCCACCACATATATCATGAGTTTTTGTAAACTACAAAAGAACATTATTGCTGGGCGTGGTAGCACATGCCTTTAATCCTAGCACTTGGGAGGCAGATCTCTGTGAGTTCAAGGCCAGCCTGGTCTACATAGTGAGCTCTAGGACAGCTGGGGCTACAGGGAGACCCTGTCTCAAAAAGACCGAAAAAAAAAAAAAAGTATTATTAAAAAAGATGTGTTAGGGGCTGGAGAGATGGCTCAGCAGTTAAAAACACTGACTGTTCTTGCAGGAAGACCCAGGATTGAATCCCAGCACCCACATGGCAGCTAACAACTGTCCATAACTCCAGTTCCAGGGGATCCGAGGTGCACTTACTTACATGCAGGCAATACATACATAAAATAAAAATAAAATAAAAAAATAAATTATATATATGGTGTTAGAAGCCAATTGTATTCGCTTCCATCCATAACTCCAGCAGTTGGGAGGCTGTGGAGGAGAACGACCATAAATTCAAGGCCAGCCTGAGTTAAGTAGTGAGTTCGAGAACAGCTTGAGCTAGAGTAAGAACCAATCTCAGGAAACAAAACAAAATCAAGAAGCATTAGTAAACAACCAACTACTTCTATTTCTTAGGAGTCTATTGGGGATAATTAGCTCACCAGGATCAGTCAGCATCTAATAGGGCTCAGGATCAGGTGGTAAAGGTGCCTGCTGCTAAGCCTGATGACCTGAGTTTGATCCCTGGGACCCACATGGTGGAAGGAAAGACTGACTCCCCTTGCAAGTTTTCCTCTGATCCCTATACCTGCACCCAAGAGAGACAGAGACAGACAGACAGACATGCACACACACACACAATGTGGAATACTAAAGCTTTTTTTAAAAAATAAAGAAAAATTGCCAGGTGTGGTGGCGCACACCTTTAGTCCCAGCACTTGGGAGGCAGAGGCAGGCGGATCTCTGTGAGTTCAAGGCCAGCCTGGTCTACATTGTGAGTTCCAGGACAGCTGGGGCTACAGGGAGACCCTGTCTCAAAAAGACCAAAAAGAAAAAAAAAGAGAAAGGAAGGAAGGAAGGAAGGAAGGAAGGAAGGAAGGAAGGAAGGATGGATCTTGATATCGTAGGGCTGACGAGACTTACTGACAAAAGAGAAAAGGTATGAAGAAGATACAAAGACAGCACCTGGAGTTAGGGAAATGGTTCAAGTAGGTAAAAGTGCTTGCTGCACAAGTTTAGGATCTGAGTTCAAATCTCCAGAACCCACATACAAAGCTAGGCATGGTCACAGGTACCTATAACTCCAGCACTGTGAAGGGGATGGAGACAGGAGGACTCTGGCCTAGCTCCAAGTTCAATGAGAGACTCTGCCTCAATGGGAACCTTAAAAGGGCTTCAAACCAGGTTTCATAAGATCCAGTATTACATTAAAAAAGAATTACTCTGGTGATTTACAAGAAAATGTGTAGTTTTAGATATGAAACCACAGCGAATGCTAACCAGTCCAGGACTATAATCCCAGCACTTGGGGTGGAAGGAGGAGGATTAGTTCAAGGTTAGACTCGGCTGCATAGTGAGTTCGAGGCCAGTCTAGACAACCTGAGATTCCCTTCTTCTTATATTTTTCAATTATCTTAATCATCACCAAAACCAAAAATGTAAATATAGGTACTATTTATTATTGATTACTCTGCCCATGCTTCCCACCAACCCTTAAGTCCTTCTGTTCATGTAAGAGCAGAGGCAAATCCTTTTCATTTAATGGAAGTGTTTATCAAGCATCTACTCTATATGCAAGGCTCAGTGCTAGGCGCTGTGAGTTTACAAAAGGACATTCTGTTCACAGGAAGCAACAGAAAGCATGAAGGCTCAGATGAAGCACTGCGAGAATGCAAAGCTGCAGTTTCTTTTCTTTCGTAAAAGGACGGATTCAGAGGAAGTAGCTCCTGAGCTTTTCGGTATGGGTAGAATTTGAAGATGTGTAATTGTGGAAAGAGGACTAATTTCAGAAATAATACTGGTTACGCCGAGGGGGGAAAGCATGGCCTGGTTTCGGGTAGCAAAAATCAGACTGCAGTATCCCCGGCGCGATGCCCACCGGCCCATAACATTGTCCTGGAAGTGGCCCGCGCCCGCAGCCAACACCGCTCCTGGGGCCCGCGCCCCTTTCTTGTGACCCTTCCCGGGGGCATTCTTCCCAGCCTCGTCCCGGAGGCTGAGGCACAGCTCTGCCCCGGCTCTCGCCCACTCTGCAAACTCCTGGGGACAGCCTCCACCGCCAGGAACTCACCACCCTGCGCCTGAACCGCCTAACGCGGCCTCAACGTCGCCGAGCAGTCGCCATCTTTCGCGTTTCCTGATCGCAGAGAAGCACCCTAGCCGCGCGGGGAGCCGGGAGATCGAGTTCCCGGGCTGCGTTGCGCCGGCCTACAAGTGCACCGGGAAACTACCAATCCCGGAATGCATGGCGTGAGAGCCGGGCGGGCCGCGAGGACTTCTGGGCAATGTAGTTAGCTTAAGATTTGGAGTCTGCGGGAGGAAGAATTTTACATATGTTGTTTTCCCACATAGGGTTCTCTCCCTGTGCAGTCTTCCTGGAATCTTCTAGTAGAAACTGCGGTTAATCACAATCACTGCTGATGGCTTACACCATCGGAGTTTTTTACAAGAACTGCAGTAACATCAACAAATAATTTACTGGTTTTGGAAAAGCTTTTTTTTTAATTTTTTTAAATTTATTTTATTTTATTTTATTTTATTTGTCTTTTCTGAAACAGGGTCTCCCTGTAGCCCCAGCTGGCCTGGAACTCACTATGTAGACCAGGATGGCCTTGAACTCACAGAGATCTGCCTCCCGAGTGCTAGGATTAAAGCCCTGCACCACCACGTCCAGCTGGAAAAGCTTTTTTACAAAAATGGTGGGAATGGGTATTGGCCCCGTTTCACAGCCGGACAAACTAAAGATAACAGGAGTAGCCTAGTATTTCACAATGAAGGTAGTACAGTTTTCACAGTAGAACTACTGTAGCCGTGGGAAGATATTTCAGTAACCCTGGGCCTTCACACCCCCACATCCCTACCCACCCCACCCTCCCAAACACTAAGCCTTCACTAACTCCAAAGGCCTTCTTAGAAAGATGAATTCTGAGCTGTGGTGCCTGTTTACTCAACATTCCAGACAGGATATTGGCTTCCTCCTTTTCTTGTTCTTTGGGATCTGTCCTCTTGGGCTATCTTG